CTGGGTGTTATGCACAAACAATGAATCATGGAACACTACATCAAAAACTAATGATGTAATGTATGGTGATTAACATAACAATACAAAATTTAAAGGAAAAAATAAAAATAAATAAAAAGTGTAACCAACTCTTAAAATAAATAAATAAATAAATAAAGTTATCACATACCAGTTACTCGAAGTTTATCTGTACCAACCACGACTTCCTTTTCATCGACAGTAAACAGTGGCTTGCCATCCTTGGAGTTGATCTGAAACTGTTGACTCTGGACCTCTACCATTTTGGGACCTGAACAATTCATTAAAACATTTTATTAGGAAGTGTTTACTATATGTAGTGTCAAAATCTCTATTTTTACATGTCATATCATGTCACCCTTGTCAAATTACTAAATATATAAAATCTGTTACCAATAGTTCTTTTAAATTCTATGATTAAACTTTTTAAGTTCTAAGCCTAAATCTATATTATTAAAATTATGTCAAATATGTGCTAATCTACAAAGCATAATGTGTAGAGATGCTGAATCGCTATGTTGTACACCTGAAATGAATGCAACATTGTGTGTCACCTATACTCAAACAAAAAATTGAAAAAGCAAAACCAAAAAAATATGTTAATCTAGATCAAATATATGAACAGATAAGTCATCTAAAAGTTAATTTTTTCAAGTTTACAACTTGCCCAAAATAACATATTTCTTCTACTCAGATTATTTAAATTTGTCATCTTTTGAGTATTACCCAACTAAGGATTTTGTATTCTGAAAACATGAGATTTGTGAAAGACCATTTTATGAATGGCTCACTTTAATGGCCAAAGTCAACCCAGAAAATGAATCATACTCAGATTCCCTCCTCTGCCCTTATCCTCGGGAGAGGTCCTCACCTCTTACCCCTGGAGAAAACAGACATCATCGCAGAACATCGTCAAGCTTCTGTCCTTCCTTCCCCTATGGCATTTTTGTCCCCTTCACGCCTTCCTTCTTCATATTTTAGTGACAGAGGCATCACTTTCTCCTCCAAGTTTCATCTCATCAGATGAACTTTGGACTCTGTGACTACCAACTCATTATTTACTCAGCAAAGATTTAGTGGGTGCTCCCATGTGCTGGGCACTGGGGATACTGTGCCCTCAAGAACATACCCGACCTTGTTCGATTTCCCTTGCCTGCTCTCAGGCGTTCACCATTTTATTTCCTAATTCATCTTTGTGCTTCCAATCTTTCTAACCCTGGCAGCATAATGGGTTAATCTCTCTGGAACATAGCTCTCAGCATTCGTGCAAGAAACTACACGTGTTCCCTAATTCTTTTGTATGTTAGCTTTATTGCTTAGGAGAGTAAGTTTATTGAGAAAATGGCTATCTTAGAGTCTTTGCGTGTATGTCCCTCTATCACTCCCAGTACTCATTAAAGTTGATGGATACCTAACCAGAAATTAAATAGAAGCTCTTCAACAAATACATTAACCAGTTTTGGATATGATCCCCAACATAGTCTTACATTATTTCATTAACTGGTATTGTAAAAGCCTTCAGTGATTCTTCATTTAAATATGTCTGTATGTGTGTTTGAGGCAGTTCAGTTATAAAGTGGAACTCATTTTTTCCTCTATGTCTTAATCTTCTTTCCCTTAAGGAAGCCAGACTTTATTTTTTAGATAGTTGCCTGTATTTCTGCTCTTCCACACTTTTACCCAGACTCAGTCACTCAGGGACTCAGCATCACCATTCACCTCTTCTGGGTCACTGCTATAGTCATTATATAAGTACTGCTTTGCATTATTTATATTTATATTACATGACGAATATGAAGTTACGGGAATTTAAAATTGACAAGGAGAAAAAAAAACCTGGAATAATTTATCCAGTAAGACTTCACTGTTGAGCTTATTGGAGATTCATATAACAGTTCTAGGAGGCATTATTCAGTAAAAGGGGTTCAACTACATGACTGATACCTTTTCTGTAACCACTGGTTCATATACAGTGATGAACTAGTCAACGAGCTTAGGAGCATAATTTTCATGAGGAGCAATATAAGTAGTCATATAAACCCTTACTCAAGTCAAAGAAAATGCAAAAATGCAACTCGATCTCAGAGTCATGAGTTCGAGCCCCATGTCGGGTGTAGAGATTACTAAAAAAATAAACTTAAAAGACAATGCAAAAAAGTGAGTCTGTACCATTCAGCACAAATTTATGGCATTTTTTTTTTTTTTATGTTTAAGGTTCTGGGCTAAGAGTTGAGGATAGATAAACAATTGTGGGATGTAGCTCACAACTTATAGGAGTTCCTAGTCCACTGAAGAAAAAGCATATGAACCTAGTTCCAGGACAATTTGGGAAGTGCTATGGTACCAGGAAGGCAGCGTTCAATGAGGAAGCCTGACAGGGAATCCCTGATCTACCCTTGGGGGTCAGGAATGGCACCTTGGGAAATGATGTCTGAGCTGACCTTGTAGAACGAGTTTCTGTTTCCCTGATGAAGGGAGAATGAGGTACGCCTGGTAGAGGGAAATACTTGAGCAAAGGCACAGAGGTGAATAAAATTCCATCTTCGTTTTATTAAAAACAAAGACACATTGAACGTTAAATTTAAACATGTTTTCACTTCAGGAAACACTGTTCTCCAAGTGATGACAAGCCCATAATCACAGGGATAATCATCTCTTAAAATAACCAAGTTTCTAATCAATCTTTTAAATTTTATTAATATTCTACTAGTTTTTATTGACCTAGCTGAACAGTGATTAGAGCTAAGCAAATAATCCTCTTTTGCAGTGGAGTTCTTTAAGAAATAAAATTCAAATTCTACCTTGGTGATAAAAGTAACTATCTGGTAAAGTAAAATTTTTAATGAAAGGCTTTGGTACAAAGAAGGGAATGAAAAATGAAGGAAATAAATAAAGGAAGTTTTCATCATCTGACCAACTGATGTTTGTGAAATCGGCTTAAGGGTTTTTGAGAGTGAAAATACAACCAAGTTTTTCCTGACATACAGAATCCTTGATAGCTTTAATTGGATATGTGACTTCTTCCTCATCCCTTCTACCTCAGACTCATCCCCCACCCCCTTCCCATGCATACCCAGAAAGGAGCCAGTCTCTGCATTTCAGGTTTCTCCTTCATTTCTTTTGCCTACAAATAAGTAAACACACGTATGTTTTCTTATATCCCTTTCTTTCTTCCATGAAGGGTGGCATACAATAGATACTCTTCTGCACTTTACTTCTGTTGCTTACAAATACATCCGGGAAGTTATTCCATATAAATTCTTAGGTATCTTCCTCATCCTTTTTTATAGATGCAGGGTTCTCTGTCACGTGGATGTACTGTGGTTATCCAGCCATTCACCCAGACATATGGATATGTAAGTGGTTTCCAGTGCTTTGCAATTAGAAATATTGCCACCAAGAATAACCTTTATGCATGTATTTTGTTTGGTTGGGGTGGTATCTTCAGGGTAGATCCCTAGAAGTGGGATTACTTGGTCAACAGGAGTGTATATATGTACTTCTGTGAGATTTTGTCATGTCTTGGTCTGAGGGCAGCAGTTTTGGCTTTCCATTCCTCTGTGAGCATGCTGGTCAGATTCTTGGCAAGTTCTTGCTGTTCCTCAGGGAAGAGTGGTACATGTCAACCCATTTACCATCAGCATCCTCCTTTTCCTAAGACTGGTACTTTCCCACCCATCTTTGTCATTCTCTTCCTCTTTTTCAATTCTAGAATGTCTGCTGCCAAGATGCAATCTAGCATTGAATTCTCCATATTGTTGAACTCTTGCTTCTTCTTCTTCTTCTTTTTTTAAAGATTTATTTATTTTAGAGAGAGAGAGAGAGCATATGAGTGGCAGAGGGAGAGGGAGAAGGAGAAAAATCTCAAGCAGACTCCTTGCTGAGTGCGGAGCCTGATGCAGGACTGGATCTCATGACTCTGAGACCATGACCTGAGCCAAAATCAAGAGTTGGATGCTCAACCAACTGAGCCAACCCAGGCACCCCTTTGCACTCTTGCTTCTATCAAGGCTTCTGTAGGCTCACCCCAGAATTTCTTCTGCAACATCAAAGGATATGGTGATCAGAAGAGCTGAATCAAAGTTCTAGAAGATGTCATCACAGTCTTCTCTTTGTGTGTTCTACACTGGGCCAGATCTTGGAGGGGTCTCGGCCAGAGGACATTGAGCTGCTATCTGTGATAGCATTGCTTATTACTGTCATGACTTCCCTGGACTTTTTGTCAATTACAAAATGGTTGGTCTCAGTTTTGAGCAATGATGATGATGCTGTGCTTTTGCAGCAAACAGAAGACTCGGTTATTTCTCTTTGAAGGGGCTGCAGAAACCTCTGCACCAAAGGATCAAAGTTAAAGAGAAAAAGCCCATAAATTCCCACCAATCTGGAGATAAGGTCCCTAAGCATCACCCTCATTTCAAACCTCTTCTCAGAGCATGCTGCATGCTTTAGTAATTTATTTGCTGAACCTTGGGGAATCATTAATCAAGTGAACAGCTGAAAAGTTAAATGCCTCAGTTATTGTTCCGCTTTTGGCTCTTAACTACACTCTTACATTCACAGCCTGTTGCAACCCTGTGTTCGGAGCTTCTCTTTCCTGCAGCACACTGCACTAGGCAGTCTTTCTTCTTCAGATTGGGAGTCACCGCCCCCTTTCTCCTGTTTCTCTAGGAAGGATTTCAAAGCAGTATCATCTTGGTGACTTCAGAGAAACATGCAGCTGGGATAACGCTGGTATTTTTGGCCTCATTTCTAATGTTTCTTCTGCCGAGTTCAGTCATTACATCCAAAGACAGCTTGGCTGCAGGTGCACCGCTGTCCCATAATAGAGCGTGCATGAAATTCTGCAATGCTATATTCACCTTCTTTTTATTTATATTCTTTGCATTAGTCATGTTCTGAGTATATACATTTTATGTTCTTTATATTTTACATTTCTATTCTTTATATTAGTCACGTTCTGAGTATATAAAATCTTTTGCAGAAGCTTATCATGGCAATGCAGAAGTTCCAAGAGCCCTAACAAACTTTATGGATTGATGAGATTCTTACCTCTCTGCTTTGCTATTCGAAGACCTGGATCTAAGACAGTTTGATTGTAGCAGAGGGTATCTTTTAGCATCCAGAAAAATGACTTCGACGTCTGGGTGGCAGTGACCAACTGGTGCCATAAACATTACCAGCTTCCCCACTGGGTTTATTTGGTTGTAATTTGAAAAGCTCCACTTGGATTGGTAGTGACTATAATGCTATAGAAATCTCTCAAGGTGGAGGCCAGGGGTCCTGCTTGATCAACTTCTGCACCTACTGCCAGTTGGTGGAAAACTGGTGCTTCCACAGGATACACTGGCTACAGCCAGGCTATGATCTCAGAAAACCCAGCTCCAAACCCAGCCAGCCCATCTGAGTGCAGCTTGCAAACTTCTGGGGATGTCTTCTTTTTAAGCCAACCAGAATTCATTTCTGTTATTTGAAATCAAAAGAAAATTAGCTACGGTAACCAGAGCTGCACTTATGATTAGGAAGATTCCATTATTGTTGCTATGAGTCGATATCTTTCAGTTCAAGGATTTGAAATGCTAGCTATTATTGCTTGCTTGTCAATGTTTGATTTCTTTTGGGATTTAAGACTTTTGGTTTCGACTGTACTGGTTGCCATTTTTTTCAGGGGTTTAGTAATAAATAATTATTCATTAATTAAGTGGGATTAATTTGGCTAGTTCACATAAATTACATTTTAATATACAGGTTGGCTAAATTTAGCATCTTCCAGGAAATATGAGGCTGGAATGACTGTAACTGTGGGAAATCATTTACTTGAAAATAACCCTGGTGAGCTGAGTCATATTCCCTGGTTCAGGGTCCCTAACATAACAGAGGTTTTCCAACCAAAGTTTATTAAGAAATCACTAACTTTAACACTATATCAAGCATGAAACACCAAGGTTAAAACTCAAGATTTAAGACTAGCAGTTTAAACCAAAGTAATTCTAATAGGAAAGTTTTTTTTGTTTGTTTTTCTGTTTTGTTTTTTAAGTACATTTGTTGGTGACAAAAATAGTAACCATATTTGCAGGAACTAGGGTGGTTACTGGTGTGCCATAATTTAAGGAAATCTGATTGGAGAGAGGAAGTGCTATACTCTGGGCTGAAGGAAATAAGGCCTGGGGTTTGTTTTTCCTGCTAACTACGAATTCCTGCTAACTGCTAATTTCTACTACCTCCTGGTTTGGCTTTTTCTGCTATATAGTGTGTTCTTAAGCAAATGAGGTTTCCAGTGCTTCAGTTTTTTCACTCATGCAATTGGAGACAGATTTATATTATGTAACTCTGTTGTACGATATATGAAAATCCACATTCAACAAAATATTAAATTAGGACATATTTGTATTAAATCATTTTTATAAGAATATAAAGAATATAAAGGAAATCTTTTACTTTGGGAGCTCCTAAGAGAGACGTGCATATTATTTATATATTAATACTTACTTGACAGCATCTAAAAAGTAGCACATAGGCATCCAATAAATGTCGAACAAATGACAAAAGATGAGCAAAGATCCCTCAAACTCTTAAAAGCTACAATCAAAGAATTTTATGAAAAAATGGTAAAAGATAAATCATAATACTACATAATTCATCAAGAAAATATGATTTGATTTAGACAAGTTTCAAGAACATATATGCTGGATAAACTCAGATTTGTCTTCTAGGTCCACTGAGAATTTCACTGGACTTAGTGATCAAACTTTTAAGCAAAAGAGAAATATGATCCATTATTTAGAATAAGTTACAAAGATTAAAGAAGAACATAAAATATAGAACTCCTGTATTAGCATGATAAAAAGGAATCATCAGGCTAATTATGTGGCTGCCGTTGCCCATGTAACATTATTCTGTTTTGTAAAAACAGTCATTAAAAAAGAGACACTGAAAGTTACCAGTCTGTATTGGCTGGACACAAAGGTCCACCTAATTTCTTAGATTTGGCACATCTATAGACTGCTGATAGTATAGAGAATGTGTACATATTCCTTTCACTGGGTGGTTTGCTCTTTTGTCATTTCTTCCATCTATCTCTCTAACCCTTTTTATCACTGTGTGAGATTCCATGTGATCTCACTTCCAGGTGAGCCTACTCTCTGGTTTTAGCTGGTTGGATGGGTGTACATTGCTGACCCAAGGGCAGTTGGTTAAATACATGGTCCTCTATTTCTTAGAATCAAAATAACGTTACTTAAAATACTTCAGACTGTCTCCCCTGTGATGCCAATTATTCTCTGTGGCCAACACAACATGATATTTAGAAAATTCATGCTTTAAAGATTTTATTTATTTATTTGACAGAAAGAGAGAGACAGTGAGAGAGGGAACACAAGCAGGGGGAGTGGAAGAGGGAGAAGCAGGCTTCCCGCTGAGCGGGGAGCCCAATGCGGGGCTTGATCCCAGGACCCTGGAACCATGACCTGAGCTAAAGGCAGTCGCTTAACCAACTGAGCCACCCAGGCGCCCCAAAAATTCATGCTTTAATTGTTCATAAGTAACTTTGAATTCTTTAGAAGAGAAAAATGTATCCATTCAGCACAGCTCTCCATGGACCACTCACAGGCCAAGCACAGTGAAGTCCGACTCACCCACTTTTAATCTGCCTGTGACCTCTCCTTCAGAGTTGCGTGCGTTGACAGTCACATTCTGAGTTGACTGCAGAAGCAGAGATGAGTCCTAGAAAAGCATTTACAAAATTTGACAAAAAAAGTACATTATTTAAAATGACTATCTTTATATTCATACATAAATTTAGGATTTATAGGAGATAATTTCTCCATAGTCACAGATCCTGTGACCCTACACAGTATTTTCAAATTCTGGATTATATTATATTAAAAGAGTAAATAAATGTACTTTTTCCCCAAAGTTTAAAACAACACATATTTATTATATCATAGTTTTTATGGGCCAGGAGTCCAGGCAGAATCTACCAGTGGTTCCCTGTTCAGCATCTCAAGGGGACTGCAGGGCTGAGGATTCATTCCAGGCACAGGGTCTTCTTTTATGCTCATGTTGTTGGTGGCAAAATTCATTTCCTTGCTGCTGTAGATGTCCTAACTTTTTTTTCATAAATTATAATACTCTTATGGGTTTCTGCTGCTTGTGTGCACTGGCCACAATGTACCAAATTAGTTCTCAGGGTGAAGATCTAAAATCATCAAGTTTTAATCAGTGTTTTTTCTATTCCAAGGAATTAAAATTTCATTTCTTATTATTTATGTCCAAGACATGATATATTTTTGGAATATAAATCAGAGAATGGTTAGTTCTTCTACAATAAATACCATTTTATTTTCAAAATGTAAAGTCTTTTCACAATTTCAAAAGAGCTTTTAAAATTTGTCAGATGCTTATGTTTTTTGAATTTTTTGTTGAAAGATAAAAGGGTTTTATGTGCACATAAGTGCCTTCTGTGGTATCATAGCTCTGAATGGGTGGTTTTGTTTTACAGATCGTTTGTTTTTATATAAACAATTTTCTTCAAAAAGAATGCAACAATTTGGCTGTTGGATTCAGGTGGGTTTATGGTCCATTCAGAGGGAACCAAGTATCTTCCGAAGCTGCAGGGAATAATGTGATTTTTCAGAAGGAAAGAAGTTTCAGGAGTGCCTTTGAACTCTGGTATGTCCGAAATTCTCCAAATTGCTTTGTGGAAGCAGATGGATCTATCAGCATCTCACATTTTATCCAATGATGTGACCTTAATCCTTGTTTTTGCACTGTTCAAAAATAACTAGCATGACAATAAGAATTAACAGTTTACCAATTTCTTCCCTCTAGCCTCAGTGTGCAGGGTGGTGAAGGGGGGCACTCTGTGCAATCTCTGGGCTCTCTCAGTGGCGGCAGCCCCCTCCTGCATGGTACTCTGCCCTGTGAACTTCAGGTTGACTGCTTTTCCTTGGACTCCCAACCATATCTTCTCAACTTGGGGAGAATGCGTGCCTCTGTACTGGTCCCCTCCCTCACTGTGGCCTTAGAAACTCTCTCCAGGCAGTAAACTGGGGCAGTCCTAGGGCTCATCTCTTTTGTTCCCTTTCTCAGAGATAACTGTCCTGACTGCCACTGTCCAATATTTGAAAACCATCCTACTCCATTTTGGCGCTATGACAAAGTACGAGAGACTGGATAGCTTATAAACAACGAAGATTTCTTTATCACAGTTCTGGGGACTGGGAAGTCCAAGATCATGGTGCTGGCAGATTTGGTGTCCCGCGAAACTCACTTTCTGGTTCACGGAAGGTGCCTTCAGCTGGAAGGTGCCTTCCAGCTCACAGAGCTCTCTCAGGCTGCTCTGATTAAGGGCACTAATTCCATCACGAGAGCTCTGTCCTCATGACCTCATCTCTCCAAAGCCCCACCTCCTAGTACCATCACCTTAGGGCTTAGGTTTCAACATGTGACTTCCAGACCATAACAAAAACCATTGTTTCATATACTTTCTCAAGTTTTTTTAGTTGCTTAATAAAAGTGGGTAAATCTGTTCCCTATTATTTCTGTCTTGTTTTACCCGTTTTGATTTTATAACTTCTTATTCTTTTAATAAAAGCCACTCAAAAATAGCTTTATCTCTGTGAGATTCTTAAGTGTGCTTTTCCAGTCATTTTCAGAATGCTTATTTTTACTTAATTGGAAGTTAATTCTCTTTTTTATAGAGTCTATTTGGTATCCTTTATTTAGATGGAGTTTTCCTTATGTGGTTGCAAATTTCAGTCTCAAGCTCCCTGTGTGAATATATTTTAATTTCTGGACTCAACCAGCCTGTCTAAAGGCTTTACCATTGTTTTCATTCAGACCGCCATGTTTCTCAGTCTTATAATGGTGGCTCAGGGCTTATGCCCTCAGTGACATTCGGGGCTTTGTCTGGCATTTTTATGGGCTCCTTTATGGGCTCCATCTCACAGATATACAGTTTTATTCAAGCCTGAGCAGTAGGTGCAACCCTTTTTTGCCTTTCACTGCTGTCTCATGCAGTAGGTCTGGCTGGAGTCCCAAGCAGTCTCATCAGGTGCCATTTTGGTCTCTTTTCCTCTGTGGGCTTTGATGGTAAGCTACCTCTGCTGCTTTACAGGATTGTGAACTTCAAAGACAATCATTTCAAGTAAAGCTTTACCACTGTGTGTTTGGGCTTCATTTCATTTTTGGCTATGTCTATATGTTTCTAAATACAACCTGTTTGTTTTATCGAATATAATTGCTACGTGTTTAGGTCAATGGGCAGGGTGGATGGTTTTAAATCATGAGCTCCAGGCAGGATCTTGACAGGACTTCATGTATTAAATGTGAAGAGTAATCACATGTTAGAAGCCAGAATACCATGTTGAATTATATTTATAATAAATTCTCTCACCTCAGCAATATAGATAAATGAATATATGTCAAATTTTGCAAATTCATTTCTGTAGTTTTATGGAAAATTACTTCCTGGACTCATCTTTGAAAAGCAAACGTGACTAATATATCAGTGTATACAGAAAATATAAAACATAGTTTTGTTCAGTTAATCCTATTATTGGAAAGCCATATTAGTTACCAGATACTTTATTTCTGTGATCACAAATTATTATTCCAAATGTTTCCGTAATTTTATGTATCAATTGACATATTTCATCAATCCATCACTGTAAGACTTTAAAAATGATTATCTAAAATAATTTACACAATTTTGCTGTTTTTTAAAAGTATACCAGAGATGAAAAACATCTGGTAAGTATAACTAAAAGTATTATTAAATCCAGAATAGTAAATTTGTTATGAAGCAATCACCTGGTTTCAGTTACCAGGTTATTCTACCAGTCTTATCTCTCCAAAAATATGATAGGGGATCAGCCAACATAACTCTGGGAGGAAAGATGGCTAAGTTCTAATATTTAAATTATTTGCTCACATCTGACCTCCCCTTTTACAAAAGCTTAGGTTCATTCCCCATGTTGCCATATGACAGGGGTATTTAATATATTTAAATGCCATCACGATTAATGTAAGCGCATTATCTGAAGAAGCTCATAGAATCGGGCTTATGCATGTATCAGCCTGTCACAATCCACATCATTTGCCTGCTTCTACTCTCAACTGAGACATTCTCAGAAGTAATACAGTAGTGTCTAAGAGCTACGTATGTGCTTTGCACTTTCTAGAATCTCACCTCCGCAGTCCATATTTGATAGTAGAGCTTGGTGATTGTTCTGATGTCCATGTAGGGGTGTGGTTTATCTCGAAGACCACATGTGTTCTCAGTGATTAGACTTTTGTATCCTTCCCAATTGCCCTAGAGTAGCTGGAAGAGCCTCTACATGCAGGAGATACTGACATATCCTTTCATATATAGAAATATGACAGGAAAATGAAGAGTGCACTCTTCATACAATTGGTAAGTTGTTGGATGAAGTTTAACATTTTGTTGGGATAATGCCACCTAATCAATAATTTGCCAAATGTTTATCTTTACTACAAAGTCCATAGCATCACTGAAAGCAAAATAGAACATATTACAAAAATGGACTATATTTTATGCTTGGCTTTACCTGTTATAAATTCTGTGGAGGTAAATGAAGATAATATTGAAACAGATTTGTTTATAAAGTCACAAAATTATTTAATGAGAATGTTTAATCTATTTACCGAGAATCCTACAGGACCATAATCTATAATTAGCATAATTAGTACAGAACATACTACTATGAAACTAATTTCTTTCTAAGCTTCTCAGATAATTTTAAATGCTTTGAAAGAGTGTATTCAAATTACCTGCACTAAAAGAAGTTTAGATTATTTTTGATAAAGGTTTTAATTACCAAACCTTTTTTATTATGGTCTAAATCACTGAGGCCACCAAATTTGGATCTAAAGCACATGAAAATGGAATCCTTTTAGAATGTAATAGCAGAAATATGTTTTACAACCTTCTAGTCAAGCTTTTTATAGAGTGTAACATCAATGTGTGTATGTATACATTTAAGAACCTCTTCTGAAATATGTTAAGTTTCTGTGCTTAATGATTATTTACTTTTCATAAAACACAAAATATTTAAATGCTTCATCATTTTCTTACCACTCTGGAGTGTATTTCCTTGGCATACAATGGGAATAAAAATTCTGATTCTCCTTCTAGGCGAAGACCATCTTTTGTAACACGTAAGTGACCCATTCCTGTCTGGTAAAAAGATGAGACAATAGAGATTTTGTTATAGCTTTCTTTTTCCTTTCTTTTAGGATCAACTAAGATTACAGATGCATTTTAATAAGTTTTCTATTGGCATTTTTCTGTATTTCTCTTAAATATTCTATTTCAAACTTTAGTTTTTACTCAATTGTCAGTATTTCATTAACTTTTGTGTAATACAAAGGACTATTTAGGAACTACATACAAGATTTAAGAGTCAATTTGTAATAAACATCCAAGAGCCCACCACGATGTAAGAAAAAGGTTCTTACCACGACTATTTAAAACATTTTTAAAAATTAAGATGCAATAAAACAGACTGTTTTGAGGTGTCCAGTTCTATGAGTTTTAACAATGGTCCACAAGGTACAGAACAGTTCTATCTCTCCCACCTGCACCGTACCTTAAAGGCTTCAACTGTATCCGGCAAGTTTACAATATAGCAACTGTTTATTGGCCAGTTCTTAAGTGAAAAGCAATACAGGAGGAAGCGAAACTCTATTCAAGGTGTCAGTTCTCAAGGCAGTTTCAGTCATGAAAAATTACTGGATAGAAGGATAGAAGACTTAATTCTGGAGATTACCAGTGACCATCATGCTGTTAAATCTTGTAGACATTTTAAAGCTTCATTTCCTTTGCTTTCTCAGCAGCATTCAGCACCAGACTTCATTCTTTTTGGAACACTATCTTAACTCAGTTTCCGGGATACCACGCTCTCCTAGCTTTTCTCCTTGGCCTCCATACACATTCATCGTCATCTACCCAGCCTTTGACTGCTGGCCTCAAGCTTGGTCGGGCCCTCTCCTGTGATCCCTCCCTGGCCCTGCCCTCAGCTTCCATTACCATCTCAGTGTGGAAATTCTCACCTGTTTATTTGCAGTTTACATTCTCTCTTCTGAGCTCCAGACCCATATATATATATATGTGATTGTCTATCTTTCCTTCCTTTTTGAATGTCCTGGGAGCACCTAAATACAACAAATTGAATTCTGATCTTTCTTCTCTTCCCCCAGGATAGAGGTAGATTTAAGAAAGGGAGAGCAGAATGGTCAGGAAAATGAAACAAAAACATTAAGGACAACTTTTTCCAGTGACAGGTGATTTCCAGGACAGAGATATGTTACTCTGAACTGATGTCATAGACTTCTCTTTTGAAGAACTCCACTGATTGATAAGCCCCACTGACAAGAACCAGATTCAATCTGAATTACTATGCCCGGTTATCTGTCTGTGAACCACCATTATGGTCCTTTTCCCAAACTCGGGTGTGGAAGCTGTGGAGTTCGCCCTATGCTTAATGCAAGTCCCTCAGTGCTGCTGGGCTTGAGTCAACCCCCACCACATGCAGGGAAGCTCTCCTGAGTCTCTCTGACACGTGTGATTCAGTGTGTAGCTTGGTTTAAAGAAAGGGCTCAAAATCTAAAAGGTTGACAGCTACTGTTCTACAGTTTCTCACAAAATCTAACCATGCAACTGAAAGGCACAGTTTATGAAATTAAGCCAACATTAGCAATATTATGAACTCCATTATGTGTGGATAATAAACCGATTTTTAGCAAACAATTCCATCAGGAATTTTTTGTCCTAGAGTTAACCAAAGTGAAGTTTCAAGATTATATATTTGAATCTGAAAATCTGCTGCTCAATTTCTGGGTTCAGTGAAACACATGCAGGAGTTTTTCTGGACTCTATTTTGCTATATCGGGGAAGAAAACACCAATAAAAAAGTAATGCTAACTCCAGCCTCTGAAGTACTAATTTACATAATCAGATTGCAAAAGCTCATTGTTCCTTGTCATGTGTCATTTCCTCCTCTGGCTATTCGTCTCCTTGAAAAATAAGGAAATTGACATGAGGTGACCCAAACTTCCTTTCACCTGTAATAGTCTACAGTTTCAATAAAATGAATTACAAATCTCTACAAACAACCAGTCACTCCTCAGTGCCTTAAAACAAAAGAATACACCTATTTGTCTACTTTTTTTTTTTTAGTCAGGTATGTTGAGGTATAATTCACAAATAATAAAATTTACCTTTTTTAGTGAACATTTTTGCAAGTTTTCACAAAGTACAAAACACCAACACAGTGAAGATATAGAAAAGTTCTAGAGACCACAAAACATGCCTCCCTGCAGTCACTCCCCACCCCCACACTCCCATTCTTTGGCAAACACTGCTTTCTGTATCAATATTTTGCCTCTTGTAGAATGTCATATAAATGGAATCATACAGTATGTAGACTTTTTCTTTCACTAGAATAATGCATTTGACATTCATCCATGCTCTTGTGCATATCAGCAGTTTGTTTCCTTTTAGAGATGAGTAGTATTCCCCTGGATGAATATATCACAATTTGTTTATCCATCTATCAGTTGAAGGACTTTTAGGTTGTTTTGATGATTATAGAAAAAGGCTTCTGTGTGAACATAATTATCATTTCTGTTGAAAAAATGCCTAGTAATGGGATTGCTGGGTTGTATGGTAGGTTTATGGTTAACCTTATAAGAAATAAAATGCCAAACTGTTTTCCAAGGTGGTTGTACCATTTTGCATTCCCATAAGCAGTATATGAGTGTTCTGGTTGCACTGTATTCTTGTCAACACAGTATTGTCAGTATTTTTTCCCATTCTAATAGGTATATGATGGTATCATATTGTGGTTTTAATTTGTATTTTCCTAATGACTAATGATGTCAAACCTTTTTCAATGTGCTTTTTGCTATCCACATCTCTTCTTTGGTAAGATACCTGTTTAATTTTTTTCTACTCACTGTTTCTTTCATTATTATTGATGGTTTAGGGTTCTTTATATATTCCAGATACAAATCTTTGTTGATATGTAATTTGCAAATATTTTCACCCAGTATGTTTTTTTTTTAATTTCTTTAACTGTGTCTTTTGAAGAGCAAAAGTTTTTAATTTTCAAGAAGTTTATCAATTTTGTCTTTTGTGGTTATGCTTTTGATATTTTATATGACAGCTTTACCTAAACCAAGGACATATTTTCTCCTAGAATTTTTATAGTTTTAGAATATACACTTAGGTCTCTGACCAATTTTTAGTTAACTTTTATGTATGGTGTGAGGTATGGATAAAGATTATTTTGCACACAGCTATCTAATTATTTCAGCACAATATAGTGAAAATTTTATCCACTTTCCACTGAATTAGTTTTGTGCTTTTATAAAAAATTAATTAACCATGTGTGGTTGTATTTCTGGATTCTCTATTCTGTTCTATGGACCATGTGTCTATACTTACTACACTGTATTGATTACTCCAACTTTAAAGTAAAGGCTTGAAATCACATAGTGTGAGTTTACTAATTTTGTTTTCTTCAAAACTGTTTTATTTTTATTTTTTTTAAAAGATTTTATTTATTTATTTGACAGAGAGAGACACAGTGAGAGAGGGAACACAAGCAGGAGGGTGGGAGAGGGGGAAGCAGGCTTCCCACCAAGCAGGGAGCCTGATGTGGGACTTGATCCCAGGACCCTGGGATCATGACCTGAGCCAAAGGCAGATGCTTAACGACTGAGCCACCCAGGCGCCCATCAAAACTGTTTTAAAAAGATTTTTATTATGATAAAATATACTTAACAAAATTTGCCATTTTAGCCATTTTTAATTGTATAGTTCAGTGGTATTAAGTACATTCATATTGTTGTGCAATCTCTACAGTCCATCTCCATAACTTTTTCATCTTTTCCAACTGAAACTCTGTACCCATTAAACAACAACTCCCCGTCTCCCACTCCCCCAGCCCCTGGTATCCACTATTCTACTTCTTGATTCTATGAATCTGATTATTCTAAGTACCTCATTTGAGTGGAATCATATACATTTGTCTTTTTTTTTTAACGTATTCTTGTTTCTTGACTTTAAATATAAGTTTTAGAATCAGTTTGTCTATTCTACAAAAATTTCTTCTGGGATTTTGATTAGCAATGTATTGAATATAAGTATCAGTCTGGGGAAGAACTGACATCTTAACAATATCTAATCTTCCAATGCCTAAACACTATTTCCCCATTTATTTAATTTTAAGGATTTCTTTCATCTTTATTTTGTAGTTCTCAGCATACAAATCTCATCCATATTTTGCTAGATTTTTACATAAATACTTCATGTCTCTTGGTACCATTACAAATGATATTATTTTTATTTCATATCAGCTTCCATTTAGTCAGTACTGTTCTGGTTTATGCTTTTTCCTTCTTTTATTTTCAAAATCCCTCATTTTTTTCCTTTATGTCTCTTGTAAGCAGATTACAGATGATCTTTTTAAAAACACAACTGGAAAATGTCTATTAACAGTAGAGTTTAACGTTCACAATCAGTAAAATTACTGAAATATTTTGATGGATTTCTACTATCTTATTTTTCTCTGAGAAAATTTACACTGGTTATCAAGCACAATCTCCGATGACCTGACAATCATTTTGTCAGTAAAATGGCCTCTTGAGCTCTGACACCCATAGCAAAGTCCTATAAAAATATTGTTGTTTTAAGAATAAAAAAGATGTAAGATTCTATTAAGGCCAAGGGTTCTTGTTAAATAAAATGCCCCAGCTGGGTGAAGAGGGCGTCTATGAAGGGGTGTGACCCAGTATTGGGTGTCAGGTCCCAGAAGGGTGAATAGTACCCCTCAGCATTGAAACCCCCAGGAAAGGGTGTCAAGCTCAAGTGGAATGGGGAGGCATCTGTGTAGGAGAGAGGGTGGTGGTAGAGGTATGAGAGTGGAAACATGAAGGAGATTGATTGAATAAGTAGAGGAAAGAGTAATGGGAGCCACATTCCTCATGTCAAGGAAGGGAGTACAAATATATATATATATATATAGAGAGAGAGAGAGAGAGAGAGAAAGAGAGAGAGAGAGAGAGAATCAGGTTAAACCCTGTCATGTTGGATTGAATTTAAAATTTGTATGAACCCATTATGTTCCATGTGTACATGGGTAGGTAGAGAAATAAATGTTCATACAAAGGTGT